AGGAGAGTCAAGGCGAAACTTTTAAAAAATGCTCAAAATGAAGTCAGAGTTAGTTACTAAAAAGGAGGAGCATCAGATAATTTTCATTTAGTTGTATTTCCCAGGGAGAAGTTTAATACAATAGAAGGTGCTGATATTTCTTATTACAGATCTCGAATATATATGCACATAAATGTCTTCCTTGATGCAGACAACGACCCAAGAGCGCCCCCTGCTGTCTTTAATCTGTTTTGACAGCCTGAGAGCTTTTCAACTCATTCCTTTCTAAAATTAAAAAATGCATCAAATAGATTTTACTTATCTGTTTGTATTATCCGACTTAAACACGGAGGCCAGAAATAATATGATTCATACATTGCGTCTCCTGACCTTCCAATAAATAGTAAAAAGGGATGTTTTAATTGCTTTCTCAGGCAGAACAATCGTATCCTAGGCATTGTCTTGGGTCTCTAATCCCATCTTTCAGGCGTGGAACTTCTCTGACCTCAGTCACCTCAGATCCCAATTGCTTTCTCCAATGGAAAATTTCAGCAGCTATCAATATTTTAAACATCACATAATTCTTGGCATTGCATTTCCACTTCCAAGATTTTTCTGAAGAGATGAATAAAAAAACGAATGCAAATATTTGGATAATTACTGTAGCACTCTTTATAATAAGAAAAAATTACTAGAAATCATTTAAATATTTCATAAATTACAGTTTAAAGTATGACATTCATAAATGCATGCTTTTAAATGTGCAGAAAATGTCTTGAAAAATCACGTAAAACTGTTAACAATGGTTTCCTCTAGTTTGTGGGACTTGTGGAGGAAAGGAATGAAAGTTACATACGTAATTATGCACATAGTTACATAGCGTTATGGTTATAAAACTTATATTAATTGTATTTAACATATATTTCTATATTTTATCTTCATACTATTTTTAATGAATTTTTTTGTTTTGAAATAATGAGAGTCACCTGCAGTTGTAAGAAATAATACAGAGATATGTAGCATATTCTCTACTGAGTTTCCCTAATGGCAGCATCTTGCAAAAACCATACTATAATATCAAAACCAGCATTTTGACCTTGATACACACAAGACACAAAAGATTTCCATCACCGTCAAGATCTCTCATATAGCCCTTATATAGCTCACTCACTTCCCTCTTACTCCCACGTTCTCTTAACCCCTGGAAATCATACATCTGTTTTCCATTTCTATAGTTTTGTATTTTGAGAATGTTATATAAGTGGAATTATACAATATTTAACTTTTTGGGATTGGCCTTTTTTTTCCCTTAGCATAATTCTCTGTATTCATCCAGGTTGTTACGTGTATAAATAGTTCGTTCTTTCTTACTGCTGGTGGTATTCCATCCTCTAGAGGTACAACACTTTGTTTAGCCCTTCACCCATTGAAGAACAACTGCGTCATTCCCAGGTTTTGGCTATTACAAATAAACTGCTGTGAACACTCGTGTACATGTTTTTGTTTTGCATAACCATGTTTCATTTCTCTGGATAAATGCCCAGGAGCACAATTGGTGGGTCTTTGCTAGTTGCACGTCTAGTTTTTCAAGAAACTGTTAGACTCTTTCTCCAGAGTAGCCATACTATTTTACATTCACACCAGCAATGTATGAGTGATCCAATTTTTCTACGTCCTCATCAGCTTTGGTGTTGTTACTTTCACAGTAAGTTTTACCAACAATTTCTGCCATAATGTTTATTATCAGTTTCTGGCTAGCTTCCCAAACATAGTCTTTCCTCAAATTCCTTCTTAATTCAGTCGCTCTGTTTGGTACACCCCCAGAAAAAATACTCTACCCACAATAGATTGCCATATTACACCTATTGCTCAGAGCTGGGTGACACAGAACTCTATCCTCAGTCTTCTCTATTTAGCAGGTTGAATGAAGACATAGAGAATCATCCTTCTCAAATATGCAAAACACACCGGGCTGGGAAAAAGAGCAACGAGTAGCTTAATAGTATGAGTGATGGGAGGGAAGAAAAGGGTCAGCCCAACAAGATAAAACATAACAGAAACTAATTAATCCATCCAATAAACACAAACCCAATAATGACTACCATCAAGCTCTGTGCTATGTGCTGAGGATTCAGACGTAGGTAAGTTCAAGTCCCTCTCTATATGACTTCATAGTCTAGAAAGGAGACTTTGAAATAAGTGTGAAAATAAGTATATCTAAATCTGTGTTGTGAACATATCTGTGGGTTTAAAATAGTGTCTGACTTTTTTTCAATCAGCATTGAAAAACTCGCACAGAATTTGAAGCTGGAAATGATTCTTGTATTTTAAGAAACCACTTTTTCTGCTGTGTGGCTGATGGATTGGATGGGATCAGCTTTGGGAATATATTGGCCTTTGGGGAGATTAACACAGTAGTCTGGAGAGAAATGACAAGGTTTGGGGAAGAGCGGTAACATTAGTGATAATGAAAAATGTATATGATAGATACGAAAGAGGTTTATAATAAAAAGGACTTTCTTACCAATTAGAAAGTAAGGCTGAGAAGGGGGAGTACTTGGAATGATTCCCAAGTTCCTGACTCAGGCAACCAGGAAAATAGTTGTGCTATATGCTGAGATAGGAAATTAGAACATGAGAACCTGTTTTGTTGTTGTTTTTGTTGTTGAGAAAGATTGGCCCTGAGCTAAAATCTGTCACCAATCTTCCTCTTTTTACTTGAGGAAGATTGCCCCTGAGCTAACATCTGTGCCAGTCCTCCTCTATTTTTTGTATGTGGGATGCTGCCCCAGCATGGCTTGATGAGCAGTGCGTAGGTCTGTGCCCAGAATGCACACCCATGAACCCCAGGCCACTGAAGGGGAGTGTGCAAACCCAGCCATTATACCACCAGGCCGGCCCTTACAGGAGTATGCTTTGAAAGAAAGATAATGAGTCCAGGTAGAGGTCTGCTGACTTGAACATAAAAAAAGGGCATCAGTTGGAGGTGTCTTCTAAGTAACTGAATCTCTTCTTCTCACAAAAGAAATATAGACTGTAGCTACAGATTTTAGAGTTCGTAACATGGAGATTATATTGGCAGCCATGGGAATGCATGAGCTCCCTAGTGAAGTTGAAAAAGAAGAGGAATGAAGGTCAGGATCTTTGAAGGCATCTATACTCAGAGGAGGTCAGGATAATAAGTGACATTTAAAGAAAGTGAAAAATAATGGTCAAATTGTAAGAAGAAAACTAGAGATGAGAGGGAAGATAATCCATAAGAGCAGAAAATTTCAAGTAGAATGAGGTATCTCAGGTGGCAAATACTTTGAAGTAGTCAAGGAATGTGGTAAATTACATTATGTTAACCCATATTTGGCAGCCTCCTTTCCTGTAGGAGGATAATATAGCCCCTTCCTAACTAAGTCAGGAGTAGCCTAGTGACTTGCTTTGGCCAGCAAAAAAGGGCTAGAAGTGATATATACCACTTCCATGGGAATTTAGCCCATGGTTCACTAAGTTCTCTTTCTCTATGTACCATGATAATCGGAAAGGCTCAAGACAAAGACTATTCCATTATGATGTAAGCCCTTGAAATCCAGGGTTATTTATTACCACAACTGGGCAACCTATCTATTCTTACAGACTCAGGCAAAATGAGAAAGCAAAACAGGAAATTTCACAAAGTGCAAAAATTTTAGTTTAAAAAAACATGGGGGTCAAAAAATGGCAGGAAATCAAGATAATCTTCACAGAGGAGATCACAACTAATATCATGTTAGTCAGGAATCAATCAGGAAACAAACTACTTTAATGCTTAGAACACAGTGAATGTGATACACAGAATTGATTGAATAGATGATACAAGACCTAAAAAGTCAAAAGATGATGGCAAGGCAACCTGGAAACTGATAAAAGCAGAAGCCACTACCAATCTCAGCTGGAGAGAAAAAGAAAAGAGGTGGTGTAACCGGAGCCAGGGACTGGAGTCCCCTGGCAAAAGCTGAACCAATGCAGACCTATCCAGAAGGACCTGGCAGCTGACACATGGTACAGGCACTTCCAGAGACTCCTCCCAAATAGAGAGGGAGGCGAGGCCACACTCTGGCTTTCCCCTTTTCCTCTCTCCAATCTCCTGCCTGGGCCTCCCAGGGGCAGAATGTAGCCCAAGTGTCGGCTCACCTGGAACCTGAAAAATGCAATCTGCAGGGGTCAGCATCATGCCCTCTCTTCCCCCATTGCAGCGCAGAGCAGGGGAAGGGCAGGGAGTGGATCCAAGGGCAAACAGTCCCAAGACTGCAGTACAAGACCAGCTCTGAAGCCAGACCAGGGCAGACATTCTACGTGCAAAGAAACTTGACTTTTCATTAAGGCAGAAAGTGTTAGCAGAGAGTTAGTTATCCTTTCAGTGTGACTGGGACTAGAGTAAGCGTGAAGAGAGGAATATTGATGAGACTAGACATGTAAGCTAAGGTCAGGTCACATAGGGTCTCACATGCCAGGCTAAGGAGCTGGAGATCTAGTTTACAGGTGGTCATATGTAACCAGAATTATGTCTTGGAAAGATAATTCTGGCATCATTGTGCCGGTAGCCTAGGGGAAAAGAAAGGATAGTTGAGAATCCATTTGCAAAGGGCAATGCAGTAAAGGCCTAACTTGGTGGAAGGGTCTTTGAAAGCTATGGAGCGACCCTGGTACAACTACAAACTTAATAGAAACTCACATTCTGGTGATGTAGACTCCAAACCAAAGAAGTTTGTAAGACCCTAGTCTTGTAAGATATTTTCGCGTTTAAAAATTTCTTTAGAAGGCAGGGAATAAGAACATGAGGGGTCTGGAAACACTGTCAGATAAAGAACGGTTGAAGAACATGGAGCTGTTTAGCTTTGAGATAAGGAGAGAGGAAGGAATGATTATGTCCTACTGAAATTGTGGGTTATCTTGATAGCAACAGCTCTCTAGCATTTGTGACCCAAAGGAAAAATTATCTAGTTTGGCCCTTCTGAATAGAGCCCCCAGAAATAAAAACAGGACAAACCGAAATCTATCCATTGCTTTATTCGTTCTTCTCAGGGGTTACAGGTCACTATATTTTAGGATGGTTGGTTTATAATTGGATAGAATGAGTTTCGGCCAGAGAAGAGGAGCGATTCATCCTCCTTCCACCTCCGCTCCTGCTTTATCCGCTGTCACACCAAATGTGATAGGGCTTCCTGAAAGGCAGAAGGAAAATAGGAAAAATGAGAGCAGCTTATGTGTAATCAGCACTTTTCCAGAAATAGTCACTATCCTATTTAGCCACCATTTTACTGACGGGGAAATAAAGGCTCAGAGTGGTTAAGCCCATACAGAATCACCGAGGTGGGAAATGGCAAAGTCTCAACTAGAATACAGGGCTCTCTCACTCAAAGTTCCTTCTAGAAATGTGGACATTTCACTTTTCTTGAGATTCCAGGACACACACACTTTATGTGAGCACCGTCAGTAAGGGGGAAATACACATTCACAAGTGAGAACAGGATGGGATGGGAGTGGGGTGGGGAGGGTGGGTCTTCAGAATGACTAAGCCCTGCTCTTCAACAAATTAGCTCCACAAGCTGTAGTTACCAGCAGTTTCTTCACGGCCTCAGAGGCCTCTGGTCCCAGCTCATTCACACACTTCCTTAGCCCTTCCACAAGGTGCTCAACAGAAATGCCCAGAGTTTTCAGAAGAAGCTTTAGTGGATCCATGAAAGGGAGAACGCTGTTGTCCAGAGGTAAAGGTAAGACCTTGTCGACAGGAACTGGCAAACGGTTGATGAGGAAGGCAGCAACTGCAGAGCAAAAGAGAAACCAAGTGAAACGAGCACATCTGGTTCCTGTCTAAGGCCTTGCTGCCTTCCACTCTGTCCACCAATGGCTCCACTCCAGCCCCACTCATCTCGATTGCCCATGAAAACTTCTGCCTCAGGATATTTGCACCTGCTGTTGCATCTCCCTAGAACTTTCTTTCCCCAGGTAGCTACATGTCTTTCTTCCTCACATTATTTGGTCTCTCCTCAGATGTTACCTCCTCAGAGAGGTATCTAAAATAGCACCACCTGTCACCCTTTATCCTCCTTTATTTTTTCTTACCATTACCTAAAATATTAAAAGATTTTTGCCTTCATCATCTCACTAGAATATAGTTTCCATGAGGACAAGGAATTTATGTTTTATTCACTGTTGTACCTCATGCCTAGAACAGACCCTGGCACACAGAAAGCACTCAAAAGATACTGGCAATTGACTGAGTAGGGATATACTTTGCATGTGGCTGCCTCCACAGCCCACGGCTTTGAGGCCAAAGGGCAGATGTCATAATGAATCTCCACTTGGGGATGTGAATGGATCCAACTATAGCCCAGGAAACTGCTCCCAACCAATTCAACTCAATGCTGCAAACATAATTGGGCACTGACTCAATGCCAGTTGGTGCAGCTACACAGATGGATAAAACAAGGCTGCTCCACTCGGAGAACTCACGCAATCTAGGGGACAACAAAGATCTGTGCAAGCCACAGTGCGGCATGTGCAGTGCTAACATTATGGACAAAGCTCTACGGAAACACAAAAGAAGGGATGACGACTAATTCTAAAGGAGGATTGTGTTGCCAGAATCTTCGCAGAAGAGGTGTTGCTGGAACAATGTCTTGAAGCAAATGCCAAGATCCTAAGGTAAAGAAGGGAGGGAGCATTTTTAAAAAGAACAAAATTAACAAAAGCACTGAGGTGTTAAGATGAAAGTGCATACACGGAATGGTGAGTGTTCTGCCCAGAGTGACTGGAGCACAGAATGCCAGTGGGGTGTCAAGGGGAGATTTTTCTAAAGCTTTGAATGCCATACTCGTGAGTCTGGGAGTCTTTCCCCAAGGGCAATGGGGAGCTCTCAAGACTCTTAAGCGGCACAATTGCCTTTTATATCTTTGCCTTGAGAAAGATAACTTTCACATAAAAGGTGAATCAGAGGGAAAGTGTAGAAAATGGAAAAAATATGTATAATATATATTTTCTAAAACACGTGCAAGTATGTAAACACACGTGCATGCGCACGCGCATGAGAGCACACATCCTCCTGCTGGCTAAGACCCTGCCATCGTTCATTTTCCTTTGAAATCCTTTTTATTTCCTCATTCAAACCGTAAAAATGGAGCCTGTGCACCTATCTTCCCTTCATCTTCTACAACCTAGTTTCCCTCCAAAAGTCTCCCCAAAGGGAAAATATTTATTTCCCTCCACCCATTTTTCTGTTGCCACCTCTGCCCACAGGTATTTGTCCCTGGACACTAAAGAACAACAAAATAGCAGAAACTGATGAAGCTACAAATTTGTCAAAAACTCAATAAAAACACAAGCCAAAGTTTCCATCATAACTGTAGGCAGCACCCAATTTCTCATGATTAATCTCCTTACTTTTTTTTTTTACGTATGCTTTTTGGTGAGGAAGATTGGCCCTGAGCTAACATCTGTTGCCAATCTTCCTCTTTTTTCTTTTTTTTCCTCCCCAAAGCCCCAGCACATAGCTGTATATCCTAGTCGTCGGTCATTCTAGTTCATCTATGTGGGGTGCCGCCACAGCATGCCTTGGTCAGCGGTGCTAGGTCCACACCCAGGATCCAAACCGGTGAACCTCAGGCTGCAGAAGTGGACCATGCAAACTTAATCATTCAGCCACAGGCCAGACCCCTCCATACTTTTTATTTTAAACACTTTGGTGAAGGTCTTCTCTGTACTTACGTATCTCTGGGGGAAGACCCTCAAAGCTTTCTGTTCTTTGAAATTCCTTCCAACTTTACCATTCTGTGGTTCTAAAACTCCCTCCACCATATTCCCCTGGGAGCCTAGGCTTACTGCTTGCACTCCTATTAACAGAAAAGTAGAGAAATAGCATATGTTCCAGGCTACTTACCAGAGGAGTAACTGCAAATGCTGATGGTCACCAGGAGGAACAGAGTTACCAGCTTCATGACAAGTTATCTATGATATGTACCTGGAGTTCAAAACTGAACTAGAAAACGGAGCTAGTGGTTCCACTTGCTGTACCAAGTATGACAGCTGCTTTTGCACAAGCACATATTTATACACCCTCTGAGGACAAAAATTTTAATCGGTGCCACTTGACTTGCCCCAGGGAAGAAGAGCACGAAGGTCATGTTTCCTCACTAAACAAACTGACGACTTTTCTGTTTTCCCTCATGTTCCCACGAGAAACAAAGCCCTAACTTAAAGCAATCTCAAGGACCTCTTTCACAAGCCTTTGCATGGAGACACCAGTGGAAGGCAAAGAGCGCTAAGAGTCCTTCTGGAAGAAAAGAAGGGAAGATTTTCTATTGGGATTAAAAGGAGTGAAAGTTCTATTGTTTCCCTCCAGCTTTCTATTCATTCAAAGTTCGGAGAATCATGTGACCCAATGAGGTCCCCAGTTGTAGAAGCAATCCAGAGGTCCCTGGTATAATACACTTAGCTTGATGGCATGCAGTGCCACATTTCTCTGGAATTCACCTCTGCCCTCTCCGTCCCCACTCACACATCTGCTATGGCAAGATCTCTCACCTTCTCTAGTATCTCCCACTCATATTGGGAATCTCTGGGGTGTGCCCTCACATAGAATAATAGGCTCAGGATCCACAATCAAATGCCTTTTTAAAAACATGAGATTCAGCACTTACCATTGGTGTAATCCTGGATTAGACATTTTTTCTCCGTGGTATTGGTCTCCTCATTTAAAATGGGGAAATTAACAGCAGACAGTCCAAGGAGGACCCTTAGGAAAAACATTTTTTCAAGACCCTGTCTACATAAGCAATTTGAGGCACCAAAATATCATTTCACAACCATTCTAGCAGCACAAGCTGGATACAGGAGCAATCTGCTTGCAGGGCTGCCTTCTGGAACCAGGACTCAGCTATGGGGCCCCAGGATGACTCTATTTATAAGCCCCAGTCCTGGAGTTCCTTGGGGGCCTTGTATGCAAGGAAAAAATAACCTCGAAGGAGAGAAACGTGGCTCAGGGCCCAGGTATGTCTGAGTTTCAGCTCACGGCTGCCTGGTCAATTGGCACTGCTGGTCACAGCCGCCTCTGCCGCCAAAGAGGGACTCAGACACCTTGAAGGAGATGTGCCAAGTCACAGGCCCCTTTCAAGTACGAGGCCAGGTGTTGGGGCCCCATTTGAGGGTCTGGTATTGTTATGAGGATTTAATAAAATTATGCTGACAGAGGATGTAGCTGTGCCAAACAAAATTAATACTTAATATGTCACCTCTTATTAATTCCTATAAGTTAGTGAACTGTAACTGCCATTTCTTTATTTTTCTGCTATTTTGTAAACAGCATGAAAGAGACCATGAATTACTGCCATGCATACTCAATCCTGCCACTTCTACTGCTTTCTCTGCCAGAGACTGCTTCTCTTTCTCCTGGGTTTACCACCTAGCCAGGGATGGTGATCTGCCTAAGCCTTCAAAGGGCCAGGGTTGTGTGGCAAAGTGGTGGTGAGTTGATGCCATCCTTTATTTTTATGTCATGATCTCTTTATGGGATACTAACCAACACTGCCCTCATCTGTGCTTGTCATTTGGCGGTTTGCTTCCAAATCCCTCCCCTTAATGTCTCCTCTGCTCTGCGGTATAGGAAGTTGAGTTTTCCAAACCGTGGTTTCCAGACTTCCTTGCCAACTGAGTCTGGTTAGGTTCAGCCAACGGAAGGCACTGGTAGAAGACTGGAGGGGAGAGAAGCCAGGGTATTTTTCCCTTTCTCTGCTTCAGAGACTGCATCTTCTCCATTGCCCCAGCTCCTTCCAGAAAGGCTCTTTGTCTGTAGTCCCACCCAGCCAAGCAGACTCACCGTTGTTCCAGCTTCTAATGTGTGTCCCCAGCTCCTGGGCCCACCTCCTCACTCTGTCCCTCATGGCTAAGAAGTAGTGGCAGCTTCTGGCATTTTCCAATCTCAGGATTGACTCACCTCCTCCCTTGTCGCTTTATGTGCATTTCTAGCACCTTGTAAATTATCTATCTCCCAAATTAAATTCTTCTTATTGGATTACCTGGCATGGTTTTGATTTTCTGGCTGGATTCTGACTAATACAGCACCGTAAAATATTGTAGAGATTTGGAAAAAAAACAGATCTTTCAGTGTTTAAACATAGGGCTCTCTTCACAAGAACCAAGGTATGCGTCCACAAGGGGGAGGGCCAAGACTCATACAAGAGAATTATAGCATTACACACACAGAGATGCCTCTCCCTTCCAACATCTGAAGTGTTTGGGATTATCTTGAGCTTGTCTGCTGGTCCCAGAAGTCAATTCTTTCGTAGGAAGCTCCTCAGTCCCCTGTGCTTGTAGATTTCTGATGGACCTATCTAGTAGCCTGCCAGACATGTAGTCTTGGCTGAAACCTAGTTGTAGACGTGGATGATGTAGACCAAAGACTAGAACCTACTCCACACACACTCAAAAACACAAATATCCACATACTTACACATATATGAACAGTAATATGTGCACATGCACACACACAAGTCATATATTACCATCAAGCATCACATAACTGCTGTTTTCACTCATTTGTTCAACAAATATTCATTGAGCATCTACTGTGTGCTGGGCTCTGTGTCAGGAACTAGGCCTGGAGCAGTAAACCAGACAAGCAAATTTCTTGTTTTCATGGAGCTGACAGTGTAACAGGATAAAAAGACAATAAACAGGTAAACAAACAGAGAAAAGAACTAATGTAACTACTAGTACTAGGACTAATTCATGGAGCTGACAGTGTAACAGGATAAAAAGACAATAAACAGGTAAACAAACAGAGAAAAGAACTAATGTAACCACTAGTACTAGGATTAACGTGCTACAAAAAAGCAAATCAGGTGCTCAAGTAGAGAACAAGTGGATTGGGGTATAGTCAGACTGGAAAAGAGACTTGGCCTTGGCTGCTTCCACGGTTCTTATGTTCTGAGCCCTTGTAGTAATCATATCTTTGACTCTCTATTTTTGATGCTTTGACATCTTGGGGCCTGGCTGACCCTGGAGAGACTGCTCCTCCCAGAGCTAGCTAGTTCCTAGAGACAGCAAACAGCTCACCTGGGAGTGCGCTTTCCATATGCAAATCAACCAATCCAGAACCCACACTGCCAACCATCTCCTTTATGGAGTGCTTGCTCTCTGGGCCACTATCTCCCAGCCCTAATCACTGCAGGGCCAGGTACCAGACAACTAGGGACAGCCCTACACTCCAGAACCCACTGAAATTATTCAAACTAGCCTATCCTAAACCTGCTTACCCTGTCTCACCCAACCCTTTCCATGGAAACTACAAGAACAGCTCTTGCCCAATTCCCCCCCCCCCCCAACCTTCCTGACAAACCCCGTGCTTCCCATTGCCTGCAGGAGGGTGTGCCCCCTTGTTTTGGAATCCGTGTAACAAACTATCTTTTCAGTGGTAGTCATCCCCTATCTGTTGGCCTGAATAACCATAAAACATATTTTACAACAGCCATCTAGCCCATTCTTGTGCCTCTGTTATGGTACTGACACTGTCTTTCTTTGCAGCATAATTATTTGTATCAATGTCTTCTTTCCCAGGACTAATTTGTAAACATCGGGAGGGGGTTTGCCTTGTTCTTTTTTGGGATCTTAACACAGAGCCTTACGCACTTGAGCACATCACTAGAAACGACTAATCAGTGCCAGTGCTACACTTTGCACATAGTACCCATTTCTTCCTCACGAAATCCCAGACGATAAGAGCTTTTTCCCCCTTTTATAAATAAGAAGTCTGAAGCTAGAAGCAATGAATTATTTGCCAAGGTCACGTAGGTAATAAATAATATGGCCAGCATTTGAGTTCTTCCTTTGCTGATTTGTATTTCTTTACCTTTAAACATTTAGTTAATATGCATTTCCAGTAAGCATTTGTTAAATAAATTAATTCATGAAGAGAAATGAAACAACAAGGAAATGAATGCCAGTGTTTCTACATTAATTTTGGATGTGGTTCTCCAATGGATTTTTTGTGGAGGTTAAACTTATAATAGAGAGTGGGAATTCAATTAGCCATCCAACAATTATTTATTGAGCATGTTTTGTATATCCGGCTCTGTGGTAGATTCTGGAAGACAACAGAACAAAAACAGGCATCCCTCTTGCCTCATTTTAATTATATTAAAACTGTTAGAAGCAAGTCGGTAACTTTTTTCTTCCTCTGTAAGAGGAATGACCGTTATAAAGAAGTGAACTGTGTGTAGATGCAAGACACAGATCAGGAAAAAGAAAAGAATCAGCCTGAGATTTCGTCTAACACTCTGCCTTCTAGCTGAAGTCACACTGGAAAGGTCAAACTAGAGCTTGTTATCTTCTCTCTTCTACTTGCTGAAAATTGTATGGTTAAAATTGGCCTATATTTCCCCTACATAAAAGGAGGAAATAGTCTTAAATTGTGTCTTTGAAAACCCAAACACGTAACGTATATTCAAATGTCATGGCTCAGTATATCAACCTCATAAGGCTTGGAGAAAAGCAAAACAATCTGTTTCTGGCTCCCTTCTACATTGATCGAATCCTAATTAGTGAAAAATCAGTCCAATGTCATTAGAGGCTATCTTTTAGCCCCTTTCTAGGCACTGTAGAGAAATCCAAATGGAATGTGAGCCCAGCGGGGCGAAATTCAGGAAATAATGGGTGAACCAAGACCAAATCAAAACAAAATCTAGGGAGCATTGGATGTGGAGACAGGTGATCAGTCCAGGCTTGATTTTTCAAGGAAGACTTCAAGAATTCAAGTGCTTCTTGAATTCAAGGATTCAGATAAGCAGAGAAGACAAGAAATAAAACTAGGATATGCAATGTTTTCATTTAGAAAACAAATTGAGACAATTTGGTGAGCTGAAAAGAAAGAGGTATGGACGGTGTCTATTTCATCTTCCTGTGCCCAGCACTGTTCATTCACAGTGTCTGACCACGGCAGATTTCAAAGAAATGTTTAGATTAAAATCAAACAGTGAGTGGGTTGTGTCAGATGAGTTAGATGAGAAGGTATGACTATAAAAGACTAAACTCTGATTG